TGTATCACTACTGAAACAAGCACATTGTAACAACTTAAAGTCTTCTATCACATGTTATTGCCCTTCTTCTTGTCACGAACCACCCTCACGGCGCTATGTTTCCTTTTCGATTCGGACCACTGCCTCGTACGTTTCCTTATTGTTCACGACTCGCTACGGTTTCCCTTTGTCCACACACGGACAATAGCTCCCTTTGTTCCCACGTCCGCTATTGTCCTACACCCCTTGTACTCCGTACCCATGGCGACGCTATTGTTCTCTAGCGCCCATTGTTCGTTTCCTGTATATAGCTGGATCCCTTGCTACCTGGAGACTCTAGTTTCGACCTCTTGTCTCCAGGTAAGCCATCGTGTATTTCGCTCTGTAGATACTTCGCTCAATACACAACTTGTCTCCAGTCCTGCCTGTTGAGCTCCGCTCCAGTCTCACTGCGATCAGAGCTCGTTGGCGCTCCTGCCTGCCTCGCTCGTCTCCACTTACTCGCTCGACAGTCAGTCGTAACACTTCTAATAGACTATAAAGCTGCTTCTACAGCCTTAAAACAGACTGGTTTACAACTAGTGTATGAATGTCTATGATAGATATTATTACATAAGAAGTATACAAGATGTGTGACTGATAGAACACCAATTGCTCAAATTGAGGTCTGAGTATACTGAAGTCAACATGTAAAGTCCAAGTTGTGGCCCAAGTACCCCAAGTACCCCAAGTATATAGACTTGGGCCCAAGTATGGGTCCAAGTCCGTGACGTTTTCCTGATGCGGAGAGCAGGCGCCTGTATAGGGAGATGCTTTAACTTGGATGCAGGGGGAGAGGCGCCGAGATCTGTGGCGATGGGTTACCAGAGATGTAGATGTCAAGAGCAGAGAGGACCCGAACAAGATGCGAGTCATGCAACGTGTCCGATTCCGAGATCAGGTCCCTCAGGCGAGCACTGCAGTTCTCATATGTTCTCCTAGGCGTACGAAGAGGCAGAAGAGGTACAGACATCGGGAGGTCACGCCGTTCCAGCCTGTGCTAGTGCGGCCCCAGCGTCGCATTGTCCTCGGGGACACGTCAGCATGCCCGCTCCTTCGTCAGGGTCACCCTCGTAAACCTGTCGGAGGCGGAGAGCCCGAAAGTGCTCTCTTCAATTGTAAGGAAATCGACTGTGCATGTGAGACGGTACCGGCAGAGCGCGACATGAACATTCGAGCCCTGCCCCTCTCCCTCCATGGAAATGTCAGTTTCGAAGCTCAATCTCGACCAAGCACGGTATCGCCACTACGTATATTCTATTCGATCATTCAGAGCGCAACGAGTTAAGGGAGATAGGTGTACCTGATAGAATCAAGCTTGATCGCATCTTGCTTTAGGGATGAGTCTGATGACCCCAGAAAAGCCCGAAACTAGTGGCGAGAGATATCTCATCTCGTACATCATCACTGTCTGCTCACACAAGAATTGTGGCTTGTCATAGCTGCGTCTGGACAGCGAGACGACGGTCTGGAACCCTCAGGGATGGGACGCCAAGGCCGTTTGAGCGGATGAAGGCGCCGAGCACGGTTGTACCACCGGGACGCAAGGAAGAAAGGGCCTGAATGACTCACGCATCTCGTCGACTTGCACGGGACTACGGGTAGTCTTATCGTCAGTGGACTGACAAAGAAAAGGTGGGCGCCCCAGGTGGCAGCCACCACGACCTCACGATTTTACTGCTGATCGTCCTTGCGACAATGGTCCGGGACTGCGGGCCGTCGTCTCCATCGACTCTTCGTAAGCTTCATTGATGCACCCCAGTGAAAACGTGCCCGATTCGGGTCGATTTCGGGCGATTCCGATCGTATGTAGTCGTGCAACCCGACATTTTACGACCATCCGGACTATATACGACGGCTGTCGTATTCAGCGGTGTCAGGTAGTGTAGAGGATCCGATAGAATACTCACACTGTTGATTTGGGTCGAAAGCGATCGTTTATGGTCGGCCATATTCGGGATCGTCAGTTAGGGCGGCATCCACAGCAGGCACGCCATTGAATAGCATTCGCGACAATTCTGTATTCATTCGTATGGGTTCGGCAATAATACACGGTACAATACAGGTGTAATTAGGCGGAAATGTGTGCAATCGTATACCACCGCGCGTGTTTGGATATTCTTGGGTGCACCCGATTGGGGTCGGGTCCTCCTGCCCCAGTGCGGGCTAGCCGCTGCTGCGTGCTTAGGAACGTCGCGCGCCACATACTTGAGGTCGTCCCGGTGTCGGGTGCAGATAGGCAGAGTCGGCAGAGGGGAATGGTGCGATGCATTCGAAGAGCCACAGCAGAGCCTTGTAGAGCGCAGATAACCAGAGTCGCCACAGAGGAATGGTGCCAGGGATTTGACGAGCGACAGCAGAGGCTTGTAGAACGCAGACCACCCGCTCAGACAGTTGACAGGGCCAGAGCCTACCTCGCGATTCTCGGACAGAAGCAGCTTTGGCATGAAGAGACGATGCGAGATCAAGCTCATCCACGAGAAGGCAAAGCCGAGGAGGTACGTGGGTTGCAGCACGAGGACTAGCTTGAGGACAGACGGGGTTGCATGAGCGGCGATATGAGGCGACAACCAGTCTGAGAGTCCGGAAGGCGATTTGAGAGGGAGATAAACATCGGGGATGCAGGTGTTCGCTACCATGGACTGAGATTGATGAGGTGGGAAGGCAGCGGAGAGGAGGTCGTATGGATCACTTTGCTGCGATGCGGCCGGCGTTCTGTATGAAGTATAGTCAGCTTGTGTAAAGGGCCACGAGCAAGACAGAAGTACTCTTCTATCGGAGGGGGTCATGGACTTGTAATGTTGTTCGAACTCTGCCTGTGATCCGTTGGTGTCCGCGTACCAGTTGCGAGCATACGCCCACCTAACAAGACCCGACTGAGGTTTAGATATCACTGTAAAGCAATGAAGAACGTACTTCGCTCCACGTAGATCGGCCGGTGGTGGCCATTGCGGCGTCTTCCGAGGAGCCTGAGGTTTTTTGGTGGTGGTCGTTTGTGCGGTGGTTGGGGGTACTTGCGAGGCATCGGGAGGTGTGCTGGATTCTCCAGCGTCGACGGCGTCCGGGCAGGCTGGGGTAACGGGCTGCATGTTAGGAGCACCGTCGGATGAGGACGACACGTCGGGAGCTGGATGCGGAGGCTGCAAGAGGGGCTGTGCTACGGGGAGGGCAGGATGATCATGGTGGGAGGTCGGGGGATGTTGTTCTGAGGACGGGACGGTGGGTGGTGGTGCCGGAGGGCACGAGACCGTGTCAACGGGGGCGGATGTAGATGGCACAGAGGCCGGGGGATTTTCGAGTGGAGGGGCCGTCTCGGGGACGTTCCCTGCCGATTGCGGGGGGTTCAGCTGGTCTGCGACGCGGGGGCTGGGCTGCACTGCGGCGCTGTGGGCACAAAATAATGGTGAGCAGCCGAGACCAACACTGAAAACAGAAAGCTGACGAGGAAGAAATCTGTGGGAGGCATGATTAGATATTCGAAAGCCAGTGAGGCATAGTACATTACCAGGGCTAGCAGGCTTGTAGTTGCGCGGCCCTTGCCCTTGTCTGGTTGGGGAGGAGCTAAAAACGTGGTGATGCGGAGGGGTCAGCAGCGATGAGTGAAGATGCATACGACTGTTATGAAACAACTGGTGCGCACCCATGACGTTTTCAGGTTCGTCCGCTTGGGTGCGGACGCGCTGAGCGGGCTTGGGCGGCAGAAGAGAGGTGTCGGATGGGCGCTTCGCAGGTTTGCGTGCGGGGGGAATCGCAGGCGCGATTGCGTCGGGGATGTCGTGGGGAGGCTCCGAGATGTTTTCCTCGTCTGACAAGGTCTTCATGGAGTACTTGGCATCGTTGAGGCTCACAGTCGCGCCAGATTTGTTCTCCCATTTGCGCGTCACAGCCTCGTAGTAGGCATGCGTCATGAAGATGTTCCCCTTCGCGTCGTTGTGGCAGAGTTGAAACAGAGGGTACTTCTTACGCAGCGCGGTGTAGAAGAGTTGCTGAAACCAGACGTCAGCTTCACTCCATTTTTTAGGCATCACACAGTTCGTCGAGATTGCGAGATTAATTAATGTGCGGGCAAATTTGCGCGCGTTGTTGACGTAGTCCCCGTCTGCTGGGGAGCCATCGATGTTCCCGAGGTAGAGCGCCGTGTGATTTTCGCCGAGGGCGCTCTTCTTCTTCCCTCAGACGATCTCATCGCCGATGCGAGTCACGTTCTTGTGCTTCCGCTTGAACTCGTTCCACTCTCTGCCCGTGAAGAATTTGACCTAGGGCGAGCCAAAGATAGATTGTCAGTGGCCGAACATGGTGGTGGTAGGGACGAACGTACCTTAGGGAACGTCTTCCTCTCGCGCTCGGAGTTCTGGCCTGGTTCTTCTCCCTCAACCAGACAGTCGGTGGGGTTGATCGACTCCATGATCAGACGCTTAAGGGTCGCTACAGGATGATTAGCAGGACTCATTGCCACGGAGTAAAAAAAAGTACTTCGACTGTATTTGGGGGCATGCGCTGACTGAGGGGCACCTGAATTATGTCTGCAGAGGAAGCCGTGGTCAGTGCGATGTGCAACGCGAATCCTCCGTAACCGTGAGGATATCTCACACTACATTCATGTTGTTGTCGACGCGGGCCTGGAGCGCTGCCAGTTTGTGACTAGAGGAGCTCACAATGAGAGTGTAAATGTAATTGGGAGGAGAACTTGCCTGACGTCCAAATATGCTTGCTCGAGACGTTGAAGTCGCCATGCCATTTCCATGTATGGCATAGAGACATGTGAGGTCGTGGAGGACGACGCAGATGATGGTGCCTATCAAGGGGTCACTATATGCACGCGCAGTGACTTATAACATGCTTACGATGGGGTGTGAGGATGGTGGAAATGCAGCCTGGTATTCTAGGGACGAAGAAAACATTTGGGGAGGGAGGGCAAAGGGGATACTTGGACTCAGCGATTGGTCACGGTTTCGATGGTCGCGGTTTTGAGACGCACGCGGATTTGCGTGTTGGTGATGTGCTGTGGGTGGCATGGTGTAAGGTGTTCCATACTGATATAACTGAGTTTGCGAGCGAGAGCCCAAGGAGTAACTGTTCCCAGCCCGCAAGCCAGGATACAGAGACTGTGAGCGAGAACGCGAATGGGAACGCGAACGCGAAGGAGATCTAGAAGGAGAAACAAACGGTGAGATCAGCCGAGACATTGAAAAATCATACCCTTGCTGTTGAGTAAGGGGCGGGGTTGGGCTGCGCGATGAGGCTGGCATGTTGTGCGTTGGGTGATACAGGAGTGCGCTAGATGAGGGAAAGTTGCAAGGACCGCAAGAGGTCGCAGAGCACAGGGGCGCCTGGTGCTGTGACGTAATTGCCCTACGTAGGACGCGGGCACGATTAGCAGATCAACGTCTTCTGCAAATCCGCTTCCCACTCTGTTCTTCTGCAAATCCGCTTCCCACTCTGTTCTTCTGCAAATCCGCTTCCCACTCTGTTCTTCTGCAAATCCCCTGCAGCACCGAACTTCCTCCAATTTTTCTCTGCCGACTGCCTCGTATGGAAGCTGTGCGCGTTCTTCGCCATGTATGCAAGCCAGGCCAGAGCATGCCTGCCCCGGTGCGACAATTTTTGAAGGCTGTTGAGGAGCATGAGGACGCTGATTCGTCCAGTGATGGAGCATTGTGTGTGTTCCGTTTCTCTGTATTTATCTGATTCCACTAACTAGAAGGTAGTGATTTTGCAGATGGTGACAATCTCATCTCGTTGTTGGATGCATTCGGAATAAATCCCTCAAGAGCTCCAAGCCCAGGCGCGCCTCGCAAAAAACGTATGGCGTACAGCCTTCTCCAGCTCGCCCTTGCGGCTGCCTGGGAGGCATATCGACTCGACACCTCTGACGAGGCGGAGGAGATTATGGATGAGGACTCTGTAGGGAGCATTTTTTTGCCAGTTTGGGATCAGTATCAAGACGTTTGCAAGGTGTTTTGGAATGCGCGCACATCGCGCACCACCCGGTATGCAACATTGTCATCCTCTGTTTGTGCACTCACAAGGCATCTAATATGCCATTACATGTGTTGCGTTCAGCCCTACTCCTGAAGAAACTCAGTGCGCGGCACCTCCGACGGTCTTTCTGCCTGTTGACACCACGCCTGACCCGCCCGTCTTACTGGCCCAGGCCGGCACTCTGCGTCTGCCCCTCGAGCCTGCTGTCAACACCAAGGACATGCTCCCTCCCCAAGTGCCTGTCTTGCATACAATAGTAACCAAGCCATCCCCACGCCGTAACCCCAAGACCTCGCGCGCCCCTCGCCAGCGACGCCAAGAGCAGAATGGCCCCCTTGCGCCCTTCCGCTCTTCCGGTTGGACACGGCCCCGTACTCCACCCTTGTCTGCCCCCCCTTTCTTTTCACCCAGCCCCTCCATTTGCAACACACCATTGGCTGCGCCTCGCCAATCTGCGGGTCCGTCATGCTCTCAATGGGATGACTTCGCAACGTCTTCGTCTGGGTTCTCCTCGGCTCGCTCTCGCCCGTAATCTCTATCTTGTATCTTCCTCGTACTGCTGTGCCAGAACAGCAGTACTCTCAGGACTACTTGCAGGTTTTGTTGTGTTCCCAGAAATGTAACTCGAGACGCATGAGCGACGTGTAACAATATATTCATTATTCATCATTATCCAAGTCTTGCTCCCTCGCAGGATCTTCCTCATGACCAATTAACGATGAATCAAAGCCCAGCCGTTCGACTACAAAGAACCGATTCGTATACAACTCAGCCGCGCATGGGTCTTCAGCCTCCTCACACCTTGGGGGAAGGGGTAACATGGCGACCAGTGCCTTGATGCGCTTGATGTCGATGACCTCGCGCGACACATCGCCCTGATATCGACATGCCAGGAGGGCCCCATATGAGTCGCGGACGATTGCGGGATCTAGTGGTGTGAAATAAGAGACCATGGCTAAATTCAGGTCAGCTTCATCCGTGCCGCTGTCCTCGCGCATTCTCTGTAGCCTGAAGAAGTATTGTACCTCCACTATTGAACTGTCTACAAGCTTCCAAAAAAAACTGGCTGGAGCAATGAAAAGGGATGGAGTGTGTCATGAACATACCTTCACCATGCGAGCACGATGCACAGGCCGTCCCCGTCTCTTGCCCTCACATTCTTTCCACGCGGTGCGGGCGACTTCTCCGTTGGGGAGACGCAATCGACCCCACTTGATGAGACGGGGTGTCCAACCTTCGGGCACCTTGACGACCTGCGCAGCAAGGTACGCAGCCAGGGCGCGCGAGTCCGCCAGGCCAATTTCCCGTGGGCTTCGCATCGTCGGATGGAGGAGCACGTAGTTGTCTCCTAGTTCGACGGCCCTGGCTGGGAGCGCGGGGACAACTTCAAGTGTTTGTGGGAACATCGCAATAAGCGCGCTGACCTGCGCGCGCCGTAGCCCACGATTTGAGAGGTTCTCGTAGGGCTTTGAATGCGACCCGATTTCTGCAGTGAGGTTTCCAATTGCGTTCTCGAGGGGCCACTGAGAGTGCAACCAAGCTGGCCCGACGCGAGCATTTTCAGGCATCAAGTGCATGAGGCCGTGCAACGCCTGCCGGCAGAAGTGCAGTCGGTCGACACGCCGCCCATAGTACATCTCCTCAAAGTCTTCAACATACTCAACCAGTAAGGTATGCACGGGCTGCCGGAGCTTGACAGGAGTTCCGAGCAGGAGTGCGACACGAGCCCCAGCCACGAGTTTACAGAAGTGCCAGTAATATTTGGGTTTTTGCACCGCTCAGAGGAAACCCGGTAGATAGCCATAGACGTAGTACATATATTCCCAAGCCTTGTAGCCACTAGAGATTTTCTCAGCAGGATTACGAGGAGGGCGATCAAAGGAACCAGGCAGATAGAGAGAAGCCTCGGCGACCAGCTTGCCATGAGCCTCCCAGGTTTCGGCGTCGGCGAAACAAGCCCAGTCCCAGTCCTCGACAGGGTCCGTCAGCGTCGAACGTTTCAAGGTGCCCCGAAGCAGTCCCAGAACAAGATCAGTCACATTCAGTGTCAGGAGATGCATGATGTCGGCTGGAAAGCTGTTCGGAAACCTGCAGAGCACAGGGAGACCCATGAAGAGCGACGGCTTCGCAATGCCAGTTTCGAGGCGCTTTTTGACGTACTGCGCCTGCGTCTGACACGCCAGGACCTCTCCCAGCTGTCGCCAGTATCTGTCAGAACTCGACTCGTCAGAGGGGGGAGGGTTTCGGAGTATGTAGTTGGGGTGCACGCTCCCCCGCACGCGCTCGTACTCCGGATCGGCTGGTTTGAGCATTGCCGGATAGTAGTGGCCTCCTCCTCCCGGTTTACGACGCCCCTTAAGAGGACAGAAGAGCCGGCATCCGTGCTGTCCAGAGTGTCCCACTAGCCCGTTGATGTATGCCATAGCCGGAGTGTCACCAGTAGCAAACAGTATGATGGGGCGCGAGTGCATCATCCTCTGCCGAGACGAGTCCCAGCATCTGGAAAAACAGCCTTTGCGAATTGACACTAATTATCACTATTCAGATAATCTCATCTATATTAGCAAGTGTTAGCAGAGATGACATCTACATTAGAGCTACTATTCAGACGCACTTCTTCAGTAGTGCAACTAAGCACTAATTAGTATACTTGGTACTAGTTATAACTACTCTTCACTATCGCTTTTTCTATAGTGCCATGTAGTGCCAACATGATACTACTATAGCACTACCGCAAATGTGGTCCTCTAATTTTCGCTATTTTGCACTACTGTAGTACTATTTTGCGCTATTTTAGCACTACTCATTTAGGGGAGACTCAAATAAGATGACAATCCTTTATTTATAGCTCATAGTTCTCAACTCAAGCATTACACACCTCTATAGCTGCAAAATCACCATGATAGCTGACTTATATTTGAGGGCACAACTCAACATAGA